CACACTCCTTGTTCTCTACATAATGAATTATTCATTGTGATCACTGTAAATCCTTCCCTATTTCATTTTTGCGTTCAAATTTACTTTCGATTAATAGCCTCAAACTTAGCAACTCGATTTGCTGCGTGTTGCCTGACGGCTATCAAGCGTTAACAACCTTACTGGAACATATGCTACCCTTTGTCCATCTTTCCACACTGGATATGTACAACAAAACTATTTTTCCTCCCCGCCACTCCATACCACGCCACACCATGCCAGGTCGGGCCAGGCCACCCCCTTCCTATGGGGATACCTTTATGCCGCTCAGTCCGGAACTCGCGTGTGTCTCGTAATTGCGGTGGTGCTCTTTCAACCTATGCCACTTGTGAGCAACAAGTCCGAATACTCGTGGTGGTGGCGGTGGTAGTAGTTACGAGGGTTACACAATCGTGCATGGTGCTCGCTCACTCGCACGCGCGCACGCGTGCGCGCGTGTGTGTGTGTGCAAACAAGCACGCGTACATTGTGTTTAGGTGCGAATTATTAGCTGGCAGATCAAATATATGTGAGCAGCAGCTACACCAATTAGTCACACTGACCTGTGCGATACCGGTAGACCACGGCTAAGACATAAAACATGTGGAAGCTTTGATAGAGCGCTAGCCCACAAGANCAAGAACGCGAGCGCGCGCGTGCGCTAGAGAGAGAAGATAATCTGGTCTACCATGAAAGATCGAATAGGTGTCGGATAACATGATTCGGATGATGTTGATGATGAGGAAGCTTATTGGTTTCCATGTGAATATTGAGAAATGCATGTGTCGGCTGACAGTTAGTTGATATGCTGAGTGAGGGCAACGACCTGGTTACGCGGCCACGCGTGTGTGTGCAACTTTGTGCGTTGGTGTGGGTGTGTGATGGGGAAGCATTTCATTGGTGAATGATGTGAAATCTGTATGACGAATACACGAATAACAACGAATAAAATCGCCAAAAAACCGATTCGAATGCAGGAATGACTGATGCAATTTAGTATGATAGAGCCAAATCTGTGGCCTGCGTTGAAGATGTTGACAGTTAGGCAAAAAATAGACCACTGTGCAACAAACTTCATTTGTTTCTATCTAATCTGTTTGTTCAACTCCTCCTCTGTTTAGTTCACGAAGTACAGAATGAATCTGGGCACGGCGTTTGGCATGCCTCTGGACCAGAATCTGGGTCTCGGGAAATATGGAGAAACACAGATAGGTTGGAGCAGGTAAGAAGACAGAGGGAAACAAGGTGGTACCGATTGACTAACCTACTCGTCAAAGATCCGTAGTAAATAGTTCATACTGAAAACACAGTATGAGGATGGTTGGCACCGCCCCAATAACTGGCTGAGTGACTAATTAACCTGTGAATAGCTAACGTATGTACCCGAAGATTGACAGTCAAGTTTGATATAACTGGCGTATCCATTTTGGTTTGCGTGTGTGTTCATTGATAGGTGGGTGTCTGTTTACGGTATCGAGGTACGCACTATCTTCGTCTACCTTTTGCTGTTTTACGTAAACTGCTTGTCTCAAACCTGTGCTCAGCCACGGTCACAAGAGGAATATCGATTCGTATAGGGTAGCCCATAGCATCAGTAGTCTACAAAAGATATAACCCCAAGGAAATCTTTCTGATAGGGGTTGAGACAAGCCTCATTTGGAAGGGAGTTGCGCGGTGATCGACTGTGTAGTGGGAATCTAATTCAACACTCATCAATATCATTTTCTGGTGTGCAGGATAGTTGCACACATGCATCAGTGTCGCTCAAAAATCTGCATCTCTCCTAGCCCCACATCTTTCTAAAGTCAAGCGCTCAATGGTCCGTGTTCGCTTACTTGTGCACGTATGCTTATACATTTGACTATATCGATGTGCACCAGTACTGTTTCAGGGCAAAATCAGACTTTGTAGTCTGTAGTCTAACTCATTTGAGTCCAGCATAACTAATTCAATCTAATTCCGCTCAGTTTAATCTAGTCTTTCGCGGAGAGATAGAGAGGGTGAGAGCACAGATCTACGGCGAGACATGTTGACATGTACCAAGGCAACCGCGGTTGATTGAAACACAGGCGAACACAATCTGATTTCAGACCTGACCGGAACTGATGAGAGGCCAGATTATTTGGGTGGGGGATATGTGTCTGAGGCGAACGGGCGAAGGGGGAAAAGGGAGAAAAATCACCTTGGTAATCAGGTAAGCAAGTAAGCAGGCAGGCAGGTAGGCAAGCAGACAGGCAGGTAGGCGGATAGATAGGCAAGTTCGTTCTACACAGTGTTTGTATGTTTGTACAGGGGAAAATCCGGGTACGCGTCCTCTGACTTTGAGCATGAAATTACACGAGCACACAGGTCCGGAATGTGCATACATGGCAGGATGTATGTCATTGCAATGGACTCCTGATTGTACGTGTGTGTATGTGTGTATGTGTAGTACCCGGAACTTTCCGACGATGAAGTGGACAGACGGATAGGACGAACGGATGGACGGATGGGCGACATTGGTCACAGATTGCCTGTGCCCATGGCCTTCGTCCTCCAGTTCGTACCTGTGTCTGTATGTATTTGCCTGCCATGTGTACAGGAAAATGCGAACAGGCAGCAGGATGTTAGGATTTGAAGCTCTTCACATGAATAGGGGAGGTGTGTATGTGTGCGGAGTGTCGGGTGTGAGCTATGATACAGGAAAGAGACAGGAAGACAGGTATAGGAGGAATCACGTTGTGCGGAAGGAATGACGATGTATGCTTGTGCATATGTGCATAGTTTCTTGTGGTAGTCGTCAATCGGGACGGGCTACCGGATATACACTATTTTTTGTCCGGCGAATAGGAAAGCGAACTGGCATTGCGTGGTGTTTGCGTTTCTAAGTGTATAGCATGTTTGGATTTGTGGATGGTTAACGTTATAGTTGAGCAAGTGCGCTGGTTAACATACAAGAATCGGAATTAGTATGAAGAGGAGATACACTCAATTTAGTTGCTAGTACAGGTACGAGAACTGATTGTCCGACGACTTGTACACTTACGCGGCTCATGTCGCTGTAACAAGCCCATGATCACTTGATGAACAATATTTCCCCGTATGAAAAATACAAGCATTGACAGACACGTGTATACATATACTTCGAGAATTTTGTGTCTACCAGAAAGCATTAGGTTCACGTCAACATGGTAACCGCATTTCTGTAGTTGGTGTTTTCTATTACACACTGGTACACGCACTTACACGTACGCATGCGCGTGTTTCCCCTTCATAACCTTACATCGATAGTCCCCGTACAGGAGGGACATGCCTTTTCATTACTGCTGCGCCCTACCCTACCATCTCTCTCTCTCTCACACACACACACACACTGCTTACTTCCTCGTCCCGTGCTCCTCACCTCACACTCTCGTTTACTTTCGCATGCGCTCGCGTCCAAACACAATCAGAGTTTTGAGTTCAATTGCTCTGAAGAGCTTCCGTAGTTGTATGCGTTGTCGCTTTTTGAAAATGTATGAAAGCCTCTGTGTGTGTGTCCGTGTATTGTTGAGCACCTCGGTCCGGAACCTGTCTGTAGCCTCTCTCTCTCTTCAGCGGACACATGTGAGTTTTTTACCCTTGTAAGCTTGTGTTTGCTGGCGTGTGCATGAGCTCCCCGAGTAGAGTTGCACGTGCGCAGGTCTCCCGGCCGCCGTCTAGTCTATGCTTTGGGTGAGGAAGGGGAGCGGACAGAAATGAGAAAATGCATGTGTTATTTTTAGCATCTTCTGGGAAACGAGCTCGAAGTAGTTCTCAAGCGGAATAGACTACAGTTTGGTAGAACACATATTGAGTGTGGTAATAAAGTTGTCTTTGGTGTCCATTCGCTCTCCACATCGAAGCAAACATACACACACATCTACACACACACACACACACACACACACACACACACACACAAGCACACACCGTCAATCCATAACCTTGCAAATCAAATGGTGTTCGTCATGATACCAATCCAAATCTCCTTAGGTNNGCACTTTCTTCCGCTCTCCCTCTCTCATACACACATGAACAAACGCTTCTGATTGGGTAAGGGCCCTGCAAACACAAGTGCATTTAACCCGTCTATTTTGCCATTGATGTCGTTTATTTACACCTTGGTGGCCAACGTCACAGAAGATGCCGCCACCACCAACACCACCATCACCTTCACTATCAACATCAACAGCAACATCACTACCACAGTCAGTATCAACAATACCATGACCGCGACCGCCATCAGCTTCATTACTCTCCCGTTTCTCTTCTTTTGTACTGAAGTACACACGACCGCAATCACTCGCATGACAAGTGAGTTAGCTATCTGTCCGTTCATCCGTCGATCGGTCTGTGTCAATCTGCCGTTTCCGCTTCTTACACGACTTTCATTCAACTTAAGCACTGAGTACGCGGTCGTAACTCAAATGTGCGCCAACACAAGTTCGTGTGTGTGTGTGTGTGTGTACGTGCGTGCGTGTATGATGCTTTTGTACTTCACGGTGTACAGATGCTTACAGTCATAAATTGAGCAATCGAGAAAATAAGTAAACCCTGAACGAGATATGCACGGCATGGAGAGAGGACGTGGTATGGGCAAAAGGGGCGAAGGAGTTGAAATACGTGGCAAAGCTACGGACTGAATGGGTATGAATGTGTTCTTCGCTTTTATTTCCCTGGTCTGTAGAGATGCGCACAGACACACACACACACATACAATTCCAAAGTCAGATAAATTCCCGTTTTCCCACATCCTTCGTAACTAGTTTGTTTTGGTTTGGCAGCCTGAATTTGTAACCATGATACAAAATGTGCGCTGAGGCATGTTGTCCGATATAAGTGGCAGTTGTCGCCGCAACCCTAATACACTTTTACACGCACAAACACACAGTGAGAGAGAGAACGAGAGACAAATCGGTCTTTTTCTCTGTGCTAACACAAGCCCCGCCCAGAAGTTGCACATGGATTAGCAAAACCAATTACTATGGTGTGCCAGACCCCAAACCGAATTCAGTGTTGCCATATGGTTTTCTCATTTCACCCCGTCCTCCGTCGCCATCAGCAGCAGCAGCAGCAATACCTACGCCACCACCACCATTATCAATAACAGCAGCACGGTAAAATCCTGTCTCGGTCTGCGCCCAATCAAAATTCCACAGTGCATTAGCACCAGACAAACTTGGGGACTTGCTAACCGCACACATTTATACACGTTTACACTGACATATATATATATATATACCCGCGCAAGCAAGCACGGAGTTGTATGCGAGTTATCCACGTTCCCGTCCAACCGTGCTCTTGTGGCTTCAGCTACTCGAGCCGTCCACACTCTTACTGTGAACAGCTCAGGCACTTGGCACAATTGGTGCCTAATAATTTCCACGACTGATTGCGATTACAGTCGCAAAAGTGGAACTCTCCGGCAGTACAAATTGGGAAGTATATCATCAAAAGGTATACAAGTAAATGCGCGTGTGTGATGCACTCAACCGTGAAAGAATCAGTGTTTCAGATTAGGTTGATTAACCGGTCGGTCGGACGGATGGACAATCAGCTGGTTGGTTGGTTGGTTCGTTTGAAAAACAATAGGGACGGAAATGAAATATGCCAGAGCAATGCACATAAATGTAAAAGCCTTTATTACTGTAACATTCCTCTCCCTCTGTGCGTGTATGGGAATGGAGAGAATGGGCAATCTTGCAAGCTGAGAGACCAAGACTGGTTCCCACTGCTCACTAGGTGTAGAGGGTAACCTCAGTTCACTTATGTGAACAATGTGGAGTTTGTCCTATCGAAGTTTAGTGAAGAGGAAGAAGTGTTGAGGGCAAATAAGAACATTGACTGACGAGAGTGAAGGCGTACCACGACGAATCAGGACAGTTCCCACATCTATAACCATGGGCATTCTCTGTGAAGCGTGGAGTCTTGTTTGAAGGTTGGCGTTAGAGGGAGGGTAGCGTATATGAAAACCGCAAATGTCAACTCCGTGGAAGTCACTCAGCTATATCGTCTATAGATTGGACTGCGACGTGTGGGTGTGTGGGCGCGTGTGGANCGTGTGGATGTTCGCAGGTGCATACAGTACAATCCATGTCGAGGGTCCGTTCACCCCCTCAAAGAACTCGTTTGTCTAAAACCAGTTCCAAACGCACCACCGATGTACAGCCATGGAGCATTACGATACACCCAATCTTACGGAGCTAAGAGGAACA